TGTCTAGTCAGCGTCTTGTCCTAGGCCTCCCACGTGTCTTGCCGTCGCTGCCGCCCTCGCCTGCGTCGCCGTGTCGTCCCTGCGTCGAGGGTAGGCTGCGCGCCACCCCTCACTCCTCCTCCCTTCGTCCGGCCACCGAGCCTTTTGAGACGCTTCACTTGGACGTCTGGGGCCCAGCCCCTCGTCTAGGCCCTGAGCGTGAGCGTTACTTTCTGGTGGTAGTTGACGACTTCTCCCGCTACACCACAGTGTTCCCTCTGGCGAAGAAGTCTGAGGTGACTTCTACGCTGATCAGGTGGTTGCTCACCACTGAGGACACTCGTGGTCGTCGTGTCAGCTGTCTCCACTCCGACCGTGGGGGTGAGTTTCGCTCCGGCATTCTCGCTGGATTCTGTCGCGAGCAGGGCATTCGTCAGTCCTGGACGCTTCCAGAGTCCCCACAGCAGAATGGGGTTGCTGAGCGCCGCATAGGCCTGGTCATGGAGATCGCCCGCACCTCCCTGACTCACGCCTGTGCCCCCCATTTTCTGTGGCCCTACGCGGTCAGGTACGCCGCGCACCAGCTGAACCTCTGGCCACGTGTCTCTCGACCAGAGGTTTCACCGACCAGTCTTTGGACAGGGTCCCCTGGTGTTGCGTCGCGGTTTCGTGTCTGGGGGTGCTTGGCTCTTGTCCGCGACACCTCCGCGGACAAGCTCTCGCCTCGTGCCGTCCCCTGTGTCTTCCTTGGTTTCCCTGAGGACTCCTCTGACTTCACCTTTTACCACCCTCCCTCTCACCGGTTCTTTGACTCCCGTGACGTCCGTTTCGAGGAGTCCACTCCGTACTACGTCAGGTACCCCAGTCGAGGTCTCCCGGTTCCTCCTCCCCCCCTCTTCCTGACTGCCGTTCCCCCTCCTGCTCCCCCGGTACAGCCTCCCCCCCCTGGTCCAGCCCCGTCAGGTGTGTCCCAGGCTACCCCTCCTCCTTCGGTAGCCCCTCCGGTACAGCCTCCCTCCCCACAGTCCTCCTCGCAGCGTGCCGCTGGTGCTAGCTCTCGAGAGGTTAGTGCGGCGCCTGTTCCTGTACCGGTTTCTGGTTCTGGGGGTGCTGGAGTTGGAGCTGGAGTTGGAGGTGGAGTTGGCACTGGAGTTTCTGGTTCTGGGGGTGCTGGAGTTGGAGCTGGGGTTGGAGCTGGAGTTTCTGGTTCTGGAGTTGGAGCTGACCCGGTGGGTGCAGAGGACTCTTGTCGTCCGGGAGCTGGTGCTGGCCGCGCGGACACTGGGGGTGCTGCGTCTGGGGGTGAGGGTGCGCCTCCTTCGGGTTCAGGTGAGCCTGGTTCTGGAGCTGGTGTTAGTGCTGCCTCTGGGGGTGGTGCGCCTAGTTCTTCTGAGGTGGACTCTGGAGCTGCCGCTGCTTCGGACACTACTCCACCCCCCCACCCCTACCCGACTAGGCACCAGGCTCGTGTTCGCCGTGCCCGTGACGAGCAGCTGGCGTTGGAGAGAGAGGAGAGGGAGTTACACCGGCTGGAGGAGCAGCAGCAGCAGCTGGAGCCGCAGGAGCAGCAGCAGCAGCAGCAGCAGCTGGACCCGCAGGAGCAGCAGTCCCAGCAGCAGCCGCGTCCGCAGCAGCAGCAGTCGCAGCCGCAGCAGCAGCAGCCACTTCCTCCTCCTGTCTCGAGTCTTCGGATCCTTGGTCTCCCCTCCCCTTCTCCTCCCTCCTCCGCCTCTCCTCCTGTCTACGGTCCCACGTTTCCTCCTCCTGACTCCTCCCCCGCTGTTTTCCCCAGTTCTCCGCCTTTGTCCTCTCCTCCTCCGTCTCGTTCTTGGGCTACTCGTCGCTCCCCTCGTGCTCGTCCCTCGTCTCCTGTTCCCTTCACTGACCTTCGTACTGCCTTCCTTCTTTCTAGTCCACCTCGTCCGTCTCAGTCTGTGCTTCCGTCTCCTCCTGAGTCGGCCCTCACTGTGTCGCTCCCTACTCCTGTCACTGACTACTACCGCACGTACCGTCCTGTTCTCTCTCGTGTTCTCGCCTCTCTTGTTACTCACCCTCGTGCCTCTGTGTCCTCTGTGTCCGCTCTTACTGCCGCAGTTACTGACTTTGCCTCTACCCGCCGCCTTGACTACGCCACCACGCTTGTGGCTGCTCCTCCTACCAGTCCTCTGGCCGTCGGGGGTGTGTCTGCCCTTGGCTGTGACGCCCTAGAGGACAGGCAGTTTGAGCTAGAGTTCCTGGCGGCCGCTTCCCCTCATCTCTGTGCCATGCTCCTCGCCCCTGAGGGTGACCCCGACGCCCTTGACATTCCGACTCCTCGCACTTACGCTGAGGCAGTGTCAGGGCCTTGGGCCTCTCAGTGGAGAGCTGCCATGGACGCAGAGATGGCCTCCTACAGATCCACAGGCACCTACGTCGATGAGGTTCCCCCCCCTGGGGCGAACGTAGTCGACGGCATGTGGATCTACAGGGTGAAGCGGCCACCGGGATCTCCCCCGGTCTTCAAGGCGCGCTACGTGGCTAGAGGTTTCAGTCAGCGCGAGGGAGTTGACTTCTTTCAGACCTTCGCACCTACCCCGAAGATGACCACTCTTCGGGTGTTACTACACGTAGCAGCACAGAGAGACTACGAGTTACACTCTCTCGACTTCTCCACTGCTTTCCTTCAGGGCAGCCTACACGAGGAGGTCTGGTTGCGTCGTCCCTCGGCCTTCACTGGCACCTTCCCTCCTGGGACCCAGTGGAGGCTGAGGCGACCTGTTTACGGTCTTCGCCAGGCCCCTCGTGAGTGGCACGACACTCTGCGTTCTACCCTCTCTGACCTTGGGTTCCAGCCGTCTTCTGCCGACCCGTCGCTGTTCGTTCGTCGTGGCTCCACACCGTTCTTTGTTTTGGTCTACGTCGACGACCTCGTTTTCGCCACTTCGGACAGGGTTGCTTTGGCAGACGTGAAGTCCGAACTGCAGAAGAGACACACGTGCACTAATCTTGGTGAGCTGCGCCACTACCTTGGCCTGCAGATCACCAGGGACAGAGCCGCTCGCACCATTACACTCTCACAGTCACACATGGTGCAGCAGGTCCTTCAGCGGTTCGGGCTTCAGCACTCCACCGTACAGCGCACACCTCTAGCTGTTGACCACAGACTCACTGGTCCCTTTCCTGACGAGCCGTTTGAGCCTAGTGGTCCCTACGCAGAGCTTGTGGGTTGTCTCATGTACCTGATGACTTGTACTCGCCCGGACCTCGCCTTCCCTCTCAGCATCCTTGCGCGCTTTGTTGCGCCAGGGAGACACCGTCCTGTTCACTGGACGGCAGCTGTGAGGGTGGCGAAGTACCTAGCGACTACATCAGGCGTGGGGCTAGTTCTTGGAGGGCAGCAGTCTGTCGTACTCACTGGTCACTGTGACTCCTCTTACGCTGACGACGCTGAGACTCACAGGTCTACTCAGGGGTACTGTTTCAGTCTGGGTTCTGGAGCTGTTTCCTGGCGTTCCATGCGCTCCTCTTCTGTCTCGACCTCTACAGCTGAGGCTGAGATTTACGCTGGTGCCATGGCGGCACAGGAGTTACGGTGGTTGACCTTCTTGCTCGCCGACCTTGGTGAGCGGCCGAGCTCTGCACCGACCTTGTTTACTGACAACAAGGCGTCGATCCTCCTCTGTCGTGAGCCGCGACTGGAGAGCAGAGTGAAGCACATTCACGTCAGGTACTTTCTTCTGCGAGAGTTGCAGAGGCGTGGACAGGCTCGCTTCGAGTTTGTAGAGTCCGAGGCCAACACTGCAGACATCTTCACCAAGGCGCTTCCGCCTTGTGACCACCAGAGGTGTTGTGTGCAGTTAGGCCTTGTTGACACAGGTTCTAGTCATGCGTAGACTTGAGTTTATTGCCTGCTTCGTCTGTACACTTACTATATATACTTGTGATCTCTTGGACTGGCCTTGTGGCCACTGTTGCTTGTGCTCAGAGTGTGTGGTGACGTTGTGATCCACCCTGAGCTTTGTTTTCTTTTGGACTGGTCTTGTGACCGTACTCTTTTTGTTTTTGCTAGACACCCCTCACTTAGGCTATGGGGGTGTGTCAAATGTTGTAGCCTGTAGTGAGGTTTGTCTTAGGGGGTACAGAAGTTAGGGTTTGTCATATGTACCCCAACCAACATCAATGCAACATCCATTCCTCATTCTGACACTTTATTCCTGGAGGGCAGCGTGTGGCGATCTGTACGTGCTTCCGGATTGGCCGTCACCTAGCTATGTTCACTCGACAGCTTGGGTCTAGTCTGTACACACTGACCACTGCGTCTGCACACGTGGCTGAGTCAGGTCAGGTAGCTGCGTCGAGTCGAGCGTCTACATCAGGGCAGTTAGCTGCGCCTTGCTCGTGCAGAGTACTCACGCACGAGACTCAGCGCTGGTGCCACCGTCTTGATCACCCCTCCCTGCGGCGTCTGCGCGGCATGCACTCCCGGCTCCTGGTCTCTGGCCTCCCTAAGACCCTGCCCTCCCTCCCGCGCTCACTTGCGCCGCCGTGCCTTCCTTGCGTCGAGGGGCGGCAGCGCGCCGCTCCTCAGTCCTCCGAGTTTCCTCCGACCACTACTCCTCGAGAGGATACTAGTTTGTAGGAGAGGATACCAGCTTCTAACACCTGCTTCTAACTCCCATAAAATCTTAAGCCGATTGACCGAGAGTTTTTGAGACGACTAAAAACAAGGATGGCAGCAGCGCCCACCACCCAACGCTGAATGACAGATGGTTTTTTGTGAGAAATTAATTGAAAATTTTGATTCTGTGAAACATAACGAATTCCACATATTCCCGCTTCCTCACACCCCTTCACATAGTGTGGCCTGTCCTGGGGGTCTAATCTTGACCGCGACAGCAGCGAGTATAACGGAGAGGGGGCAAACGACGAGGAGGAGGGAGTTTTTTATGGGCGTGGCGATGTATGGGCTGGCGAGGAAGTAGGCGGAGCAGGCCGCACTGCTCCACGAGATCCAATGCGCGTATGCTGCGTCCTGTGCGGGGTCAAGGCGTGGCAATGGGGAGGTTGAAAGGGGAAACGGGTTTGAGAGAGAGGGCACACAAGGAAGCAGATGGAGACAGCAGGCAGCAGTGCTCTGAGTGATTCAATGCACGTACGCTGCGTGAGAGGAAGTAAATGAGGGTTCAAGGGGGATTGTGGGGGGTGGGAGGGGTTGAGTGAGAGTGGGGGCTGAGAGGAAGTCTATGATGCAGCAGGCAGCACTGCTCTAGGCGATCCAACATGCGCACGGTGTGGTCATGGAGTGTTCAATGCGGTGCAGAGGGGAGATTGTGGGAGGAAGATATGGAAGAGGAGAGGAAAGAGAGTGATAGATGTTGGAAGGGGAAGTGAGAGGTGCGAGCATGGAAGGAGGATGAGAGGAGTGTGAGTGAGAGAGAGGGGAGGAGGAGGTATGCTGTGGGCTACGTTATGTGTGGCAACAGTGGGTCTCGACCAATGGCAGGTATCTTACCACGTCGGATGGGAAGACCAACGGCAGGAGCGCAGTGATTTGGGACTGAAACGCGGTGGCGCCGATTCCCCACAGCAGTGCACAGCTGAACACCAGCGCGAATGCTGCTGGCTTGGACATGGCTCTGGAGAGGAGGAGGGATGGGGAGGAGATACGGCGGAATAGGGGGGAAGGGGAAACAGAAAAGGGCAAGGCTGGAATTGAGAGTGAACTAGTACCCTCAAAGATTCCTGTGAGCCATCTGTAAGGCACATACCTCTAGGATCTCTCACCTGTCCTGAAAGAGCCATGTGAGGATGAGAACGGCTGTCTGCGAGGCAGCACCCAGCAGCAGCATGAGGCGAATCGATGAGAGCCCCTTGGCGAAGCGAACTGCGATGAAACAACACTGGGGGCGTGGGGGGGGAGTGGACGGAGAGGCATGTAGAGCAGAGCAGCAGGATGAGTAGGAGAGAAGTCGAGAGTACTCACAGACAGTAAACCCCTTGGACAAGGGAGCTGCGAGGCATGGAACACACGTTTTGGCCTAAGACTTCGTCTGTGCCACCGGATTGCAAAAAAAGGTCTAGAGGGAGCTCAAAGTAGTGCCATAGGCTTACAGAATAATAATAATAATAATAATAATAGTAATCACAACAACAATAATAATATTAAATAATAGTAGTAGGAGTAATCATAAGACTGATAGTAATACTAATATTCGTAATAATGTTAATTATAGTAATAACAGTTATAATAGTTAATATCATTATAATATCAAAAGCAACTGCAATATCAACTCACAACGGCAATGGCGACTCCAAAGACCATCATGGCTCCGCCCATCCACTGCGCTCCCAGCAGCGGCTGCACCACATAGCGTGTGAAGTCAGCACTGAGGAGGGAGGGATGGGAGGGGTGGGAGGGGTGGGAGGGATGGGAGCATAATAGTCAGCAACGGTAGTCAGCTGTCCAGTACTCCATCCTCTATTTGGTGTTCAGAGTAACTTTTAGGCTCCTCAAAATCGCCTCAAAAAGGCGCCTGAAAAATAGCTTCTGACTGAACTGCACCTGCCAATCCTCTCCACCGTCCATTGCGTGTTCAGAACTTTCGAGTTTACCTGACTTCCCCTGTACATACCTGCCTTCTCGTTCCCCTCTTCGACTCTATTGCACTTCAAGCCTAGGAGTATGATCTAATCTAATGATGGAACATACCTGATATAAGCGGCATGCAGTGTGGCAGCATGCACCATTCCGTCCAGTTAACAGCAGGTGTATGCATTATACCTGATATAAGCGGCCTGCAGTATAGCAGCACGCATCATCATACCTGATATAAGCCGCTTGCAGTCCCGAGTAGAAGAGCAGCGGAATCAGCAGCAGCAGCTTTCGATCAAACAGCAGCTGCCACGCGTTCCTCCCCTCCCCCTCCTTGATCCCCCCGCCCACCGTCACCGTCATCCGTTTAAACGTCACAGACCGAGTCAAAGTTGGCCGCCCGGTCGCCACAGGAGAGGACAAAGTACGCTGCCTCGAGTAGTTCGTCGAAGTGGACCGGGACATGGTTCGGGAGAGGGACGGGGCTCGGAACGAAGCTATGGTTCGGCCGGACCTGGAGTTGATGGTCAGGCTCGAGGATGATCTGGTTTGGCTCCGAGGGTCAGAAGCCAGGTTCGGGCCGAGCCTGGGTGTTTGCCTTGGGATGGTGGCCCGGCGGGAGGTAGACTCGCAGGAAGAGGTTTGGAATGAGCGGAGGGAGCGGGATGGCTGAGAGGTAAGATGCGGTTGGGATGGATTGCCTGCAGGAGCAGATTGTATAACGTCACTGGAGGAGTCGTCAGGGATCCCTGCATCCCCTACACCCACACTCCCCCTCTCACCCTCTCCAACCACCTCTCCCCTCTCACCCTGCCCATGCTCTCCCCTCTGCTCCTCCTCTCCCTCCCCTCGCTCCCCTCCCTCCCCTCCCTCCTCATCCATGCCCGACAGTATTGCTCGCAAGTTCCGCTTCGCCTTCTTCCCACCCCTCGCTCCCCCTTCCCTCCCTTCCTCCTCCCCCGCTTCCGCCCCCTCTTCCTCCCCCTCTTCCTCCTCATCTTCCTCCACTTCCTCCTCCACCAACACTTCCATCTCCTCCCAATCAACGGTGAAGATTGAAAGCGCCCTGGTGGATGAAATCGACGGACAGGGAACGTGCGCGGCGACTGGGCGCTTGAAGTTCAGGGTAGCGTCGTCCACGTGGCAGTCTTCTATTGGCTTGAGATCACGGAGGAGCCAGGAGAGCACTGAGCCTATAGCGAGGCAGATGCAAAACACTATAATGAGTAAGGTGACGGTGGTGGGAGGAAGGGAGGAGGAGGAGGAAGAGGGGGAATAGGAGAGTTGCGAGACGGTGAAAGTGATTGCGTTCCCGATAATCTGATTAAACGCGAATATTCCCCCAAAAAGGGCGCTAAATTCGGTCACCACAACATCCATAGGCTTGTTGTAACGTTTACTGTAGACACCCGCAGCAGCAACGAGGTACACTCCCTGCGTAGCGAAAACAAGGAGGCATGTCGCGTGGATGAGTGGTTGAAGGCCCCAGGAGGGATCTTGTGAAAGCAGACGTAGGAGACTCTGAAAGATTTTCATTAATGCCATTCAGGTGCTAAGCTTATGAGGAAAGAAGGAGAGCAGCTGAAAAGGAAAAGAGCACACACACACACACACACACACACACACGCACGCACGCACGCACGCACGCACGCACGCACGCACGCACGCACGCACGCACGCACGCACGCACGCACGCACGCACGCACACACACACACACACACACACACACACACACACACACACACACACACACACACACACACACACACACACACACACACAAACACACACACATACACACGCACGCGCGCACGCACTCACACACACTCACACAAGCATGCGCGCGCGCACACACACACACTTTACAAGACAAACTCATCTGAGAGACGGGAAAAGAGACGAAGAGCGTCACCTGAGCCACCCAGACGACGGACCAGCAGACTCCGAGGTAGCACGACGCGAGAAGAAGCAGCCACCTGGCCACGAAGACGCATTGGGGCGGGACGGGGCGCGGGGTACTAGGGGCATGAGAACGTGTTCGGAATGAGTCTCTTGTATGGACTGTTGTCAGGGAAGGAACGACGGGGCATCAAGAGCATCCTCCGTATAGGCTTTCTGCCAATTATTTAGTAATCCCGTCCCAACTAAGACCCAAATTCATCGATGCACATTGAATGATCCCCATTTGTATGACAATAAACTACCACGCACTCTATAGTAAACGCGTTGGAACCGATAAAAGCCCAGAACCCCGTCTGCGCCACGAGAATCGCGGCGCGCGCTCGCCAGAAGCGGATGGGGAAGGGCGCGAGCGGCGCGGTGACGACAATGACGGCGTAAAGCACGCCCATGGAGAGCGCGCCGATGTTGCTCGCGCCGTGGATGCTCGTCGCGACGTTCTGCAGCGCATTGAACGCCACGAAGAAGAAAAGGAACGCCGTGCTCATCAGCAGCACGTCGCGCCGCGACCACACCCACCGCCACATTCGCGCCGCGGGCGCACATGCTGCTGCTTCTCCTCCACTGTTGTCTCCCGAATCGTCGATGATTTCTGAAAGCGCTGCAGGCTCAGTCATCGCGAAAAGGGAAAGTTACGAGAATTGGCCTCCGAATGTTTTTCTGCATAAACCTTGCGGAAATTTGCGAAGAGTTGCGAAAACACAACACACGAAAATCGCAACATTCTGTACACCAGTTCCGAAGAGGCACACCGAAGCAAAATTAATCCCCCAAGTTGCTTTTCCGTCAACCTTTTCGCGTCAGTCGGTGTCACGCGGTTGAGAAAGTTTGCATGCGGCTTTGCAGAGTGACGAGGGCAAAGAAATGTAACCACAAACTTAATGTGTTATGAGTTGTAAAAGAGAGTGCGCATGTTATGAGTTGTAAAAGAGAGTGCGCATTTTAACGAATAACGAGAAGTGATTGAACATACTGATTATAAAATGAAGGTACATGCTTATATAGTGTCAAATGTTGTAGCCTGTAGTGAGGTTTGTCTTAGGGGGTACAGAAGTTAGGGTTTGTCATATGTACCCCAACCAACATCAATGGATCACTCATTTCCTCATTTTGACATATAGTGAGTAGGCTAGCTAGGAGGGAACTTCGGGTGAGTGAGGTTGGGTGCAGGTTTGGCGAAGAGGAAAGCCGAAGGCGACGCGAGGAGGCTCGGCATCCGTTGATGTCGGCCAAACGTGCAGAGTCCGAAAATCGGGGCTGTACGCAAAGCAGTCAACCCCGATAAGGAATTCAGGAAAATTCCTTACACTAAACCCACCCCCCCCCCCCCCCCCCCCCCCCCCCCCCCCCCCCCCCCCCCCCCCCCCCCCCCTTTAAGCCAGGTGGTCAATATACGCGGCACGCTTGCGAGCGAGATAATCAACAACAAGCGAGGAGTCTGCAAGCGAAGCGGATGGTACCCACGTGTCGTCCTCACTGGTGCGGTCAGTCTAGCGAATTAAAATTTCCACGTGGCGGCCGACGACATCCAGGCGAACACGATGCGTCAAGATCTTGGACGGGTCAAGGTTCGGTTCGGGCACCGGGCGTGCCGTTGGTGCGGCTTGTTGGCGAGCGATGGCCGTCGCGGCAGGCACGATCTTGCGAAGTAAGCAGACATGGAAGGCATCGTGAGTGCGCCAGCCGTTGGGTAGCAGCAGCTTCGCGGTGACATGTGTCACCATCTTGATAATTTTGAAAGGTCTGCAGAATTGTGGCCGCAATTTCGATGGGCCTAGCAAGTGCCGGTTCTTCGTGTAAAAGGACTAATTGCCCAGCTGTCAAGACAAGTTCCCGTCGTAAAAGGTCAGCGTATTTTCGGGAAGTGGTATTTGCCTTGCGAATTGCATTTGCAGCCTTTTCGCGGACTTCTTGTAGTTCTGTCACGAATGTTTGTGACCGTGGGACCGGATTGTTGAGTGTAGTCGTGGTAGGCACCATCGGGTCCATCCCGTAATAAAAAAAAAAAACGGGGAGTGATTAGACGTGCTGGACGTGGCATTGTTGAAGGCGAACTCCAACATGGCTAGCGAGTCCTCCCAGCGAGTAGGATCGGAGCAGTTGGTCCGTATCAGCTGCTCCATTGTCTGATTGGTCCGCTCGGTCCGGCCATCCGTCTGTGGGTGGTATGCAGAGGAGAATAGTAGTTTCTGTCAGAATGTTATGTTTGTCTAGCATTGGGGTACTCAATAGTGAGTACAACCCAATTTAGGGTTTGCTATATGTACTCAACTGCTTGCTAGTGAAACCCCTTCTTCCATTCATTCCTGTTTCTTCACATGGTATAGAGCTGGTTCCCTCCTGGGACTGTTCCTTCCTAGGGCCCACCACTTCGCTATTTTTTTTTTTCTGCCCTGCCCTTAGCGCGTTTTGCGCTCTGCCTTGCTGCCCGTCGCGGCCCTTCGTGGCCCCTTCGTTGCCCCTTCGTGGCCCCTTTGTCAAACATTATATATGTTATGCTTGTGTAGGCTACAGTGGGTTAGCCTATAGGGGGTACACAATTCTAGGGTTTCCTACTTGTACTCATTTCACTGCTAGTTCATCCATTCCCTGTTCGCTTATTCTCTCATGGTATAGAGCGGGTCCTTCTACGGACCGTTTTTTTTTTTTTTTTTTGGGCCCACCGAAGCGCCCCCCGAGGCGCGATCTTTTTTTTTAGCGACCCCTCGGGTCGCCATTTCCCCTGCGGCCCCGCCGCCTTCACTGACGCGGCCCCGCCGCCCTCTCTGTCGCGGCCCCGCCGCCTGCTCTCACGCGGCCCCGCCCCGGCTTCTACGCGGCCCCGCCCCGGCTTTCACGCGGCCCCGCCGACGGCTTTGTCGCGGCCCCGCCCAGGCCCTTACGCGGCTACGCCGCCTGCTCTCACGCGGCCCCGCCCCGGCTCCTTCGCGGCCCCGCCACCTGCTCTCGCGCGGCCCCGCCCCGGCTTCTACGCGGCCCCGCCCCGGCTTTCACGCGGCCCCGCCGACGGCTCTGTCGCGGCCCCGCCCAGGCCCTTACGCGGCCCCGCCGCCTGCCCCCGTCGCGGCCCGGTCACCTCCTGACGGCCCCGCCGTCCCTTCGTGACGGCCCCGCCGTCCCTTCTTGACGGCCCCGCCGTCCCCTCCTGACGGCTCCTGCCGTCCCCTTCTACCGGCCCCGCAACTCCACCTGCTGGCCCCGCCGCTGCACCTACCGGCCCCCCACCACCCACCCCCCCTTTTCCCGTCGCCCGTCGCGGCTCCTTCGGGGGCCGCAAGCGGCCCCCTCAGGTCACCTCGACAGGCGACGGGAGAGGCCAGCAGAGGGGTGGCAGGTGTGTGGCCTCCCCTGCTTCTCCTCCTCCTTCATCTCCCACTGCAGCAGCCGAGCCGCTCACCTGCAGCAGCCGAGCCGCCCCACAGCCGAGCCGCCCTGCCGCCGAGCCGCCGGGTCGCTGAGCTGCTGAGCTGCAGTTGCTGCCGAGCCGCCCTGCCGCCGAGCCGCCGAGTCACCGAGCTGCTGAGCTGCAGTTGCTGCTGAGCCGCCTTGCCGCCGAGCCGCCCGAGTCGCCCGAGCTGCCGAGCCGCTGGGTCGCCGAGCCTACTCTTCCCACCACTGGTGAGCTCTTGCCCTGCTCGCACACTGCGCGTCGCCTGCTTGCCTGCCTGCCTGCCTTTTGGCTTGCCTGGCTGCCTGCCTCCCTGCTGCTAGTCCTGCACCTGCTTCTACTTGCGGAGCCACATGCAGCCCCAGCGACGCCGGCGTGAGTCCCTCACGCCCCAGCAGCTGCGTGAGTGGTACGCTGGTTGGGGCTGTAGGGGTGGCGACGCTACTCCTACTACCACTCCTGCTGCTTCTACTCGTGGTGGCGGCCAGATGCAGCTCCCGCGACCCTCTCGCGTGTCTCTCACGCCTCGCCAGCTTCGTGAGTGGTACGCTCAGAGTGGAGGGTCTCTCAGTGCTGTTCGCTGCTCTTACGTGATTCGCACTGGTACTCGGACTGGTCAGCCTTGTGGGACACGTAGTCATACACCGTCCCGCTGCTTCGCCCGTCTGAGCGACGCCTGGCGTACCGTGTTTGGCGACGAGGCTGAGCTTCCCGACTGGGTGGAGTTACTTAGGCAGAGGGTAGATATATATGCTCTTGACTATGATGCTATTCTCACTGCCATGTATGCATTGCCTACTAGTGCTGACAGTGCCGGTCACCTGTGCGTCCCGCCTGACCCAGGTATAGGACCTGCTGCTCTAGCTACTGGTGAGGCTGCTGCTCTGGGTGCTAGTGAGTCTCCTGCTCCAGGTACAGGTGCGGCTGCTGCTCTAGGTGCTAGTGAGTCTGCTTCCTCAGGTGCGGGTGAGGCTGCCCTCTCAGGTACCGCGTTGGCTTCGGCCTCCCTCACCTTTACACTTGACTCTGGGGCTTCTCGCTCCTTCTTTCGGGACCGCACCACACTCACGCCGCTTGGTCGGCCGGTTGCAGTCTCCCTGGCTGACCCCTCTGGGGGTCCTGTCCTCGCTCACTTCTCCACTGTCCTCCCGTGTCCGGCTGCCCCCTCGGGCACCCTGTCTGGCCTGTACCTCCCCTCGTTCTCGACGAACTTGGTGAGTGGTGCAGACCTACAGGATGCGGGGGTTCACCAGTTCACTCCTGCGAGTCAGCGGGTGACCCACTGCACGGACGCACGCACAGGCCGGCACCTGGCCACGTTCTCGCGTCGGCCGGGGTCGAGCCTCTACACCCTGACCACTGAGTCTCCTCCTGTCCCCGCGTCCGGTCAGGTAGCAGCGTCGGGTCAGGTGTTTGCTGCTGCGTCCAGGTCTGGTCCTGAGTCTGCCCCCTGTACTTGTCGCCTCCTGTCTCACGAGACTCTCCTGTGGCACCACCGTCTTGGTCACCCCTCCTTGCCCCGTCTTCGGAGCATGGCTTCCCGTGTCCTTGTCTCTGGTCTTCCCCAGTCTCTCCCTCCTCTCCCCTCCGGGCCAGGACCTTCCTGTGTCCCCTGTGTCGAGGGTCGCCTCCGGGCTACTCCTCACTCCTCCCACTTCCCCCCGACAGAGGCTCCCCTGCAGACGCTTCACATGGATGTGTGGGGCCCAGCCCCCGTCCGTGGGCAGGGTTACGAGCGCTACTTCCTGTTGGTGGTTGACGACTACTCGCGTTACACCACAGTCCTCCCCTTGCGCAGCAAGGGTGAGGTCACTGAGGTGCTGATCGACTGGATCCGCGAGGCTCGTCTCCAGCTCAGGAAGAGCTTCGGCTCGGACTTTCCTGTTCTGCGTCTGCACTCTGACAGAGGCGGAGAGTTCTCTTCTCGCCTTCTGCGAGACTACTGTCGTGCACGGGGGATCCGCCAGACCTTCACGCTTCCGGACTCACCACAGCAAAATGGGATTGCTGAGCGCCGCATTGGCATGGTCATGGATGTCGCTCGTACGTCCATGATGCATGCGGCTGCCCCCCATTTTCTGTGGCCGTTTGCGGTGAGGTACGCGGCGCATCAGCTCAACCTTCACCCCCGGGTCTCTCGGCCTGCGATGTCCCCAGCCTTGCTGTGGACGGGGAAGGTTGGCGATGCGTCTGTGTTCCGTGTCTGGGGATCTCGGGCGTTTGTCCGCG